GCTTTATTTCTTTCAACATATGGTGAAATGCTGAAGCAGATTTCTTAGTTATCACACGGACCAGGTAATGCTCATTTAAATATCAAACCCGCTAACCAGTTTTTGCAGGAAACTAAGATTGTCAACGAAGTAAGATCATTAGTCAACCTTATAGGAAAAAGAAAAAAACTAAGATGAGATCATTACTCCATCAGACAATGAAATATGACCCTAATCCAATAACTAAAATTATGGTAACATGAAAAACTAGTTATACACAGCATATCAAATATAGACAATAAAGTAGAAACTTACGAATCTGCTTTCTCTGAAGTATTGATAGAATTCCTTCCAAACATCTCCATTTGATAAGCCTGCATAAAATATTATCCCTAGCCCTGCAGCCATGGTTACCTGATTTCGCATTAGTTAGAAGACAGAAAAGTAGATCATCTCTCAAGGTATAAAGCACTTGACGATCAACAACAGCAAACCCAGTGTAATTTCCACAAGTGGGGTCTGAGGAGTGTGTACGCAGACCTTACCCCTACCTTGTGAAGGTAGAGAGGTTGTTTCGGATAGAACCTTAGCTAAAGAAACACTGAACAAGAAGCGACCAACAATAACAGCACAAGAAAAAAAAACAAAGACACTATGTAAAACAAAGATCTAAAAATAAGAAATACAAGAATACTACTAAAAATGCTGGTAAGAATGACACAATAATACTAATATTACTGGTACGATTAGGAGAAACTCTCGACTACCTATCAACCTACAATCCTAATTCTCGACCTCCACACCTTCCCATCGAGGGTCATGTTCTCGGTAAGCTGAAGCCTATAAAGCACTTTACGATCAGTTTCCTAAATTTTTTAATCTTCTATTCTTGATCAAAAAGCATACAGAAAAGTGCTACCACTTAAGGTGTCCGATATTACTCCCCTTTCTACTTACTTCAGATACGATGTGGTGCAACAAGATCTTTTACACGCTTATATATAACACAGAATTTCTGTTCCATATTCTTGGTTTAGTGCTAGAAAGAGTCCACTGTAGTCAGACAAAACTATTCCTTACCCCAGCAGTCAATTTCGATTCGAGAAAATTCAGAGGCCACCTTTGAACCTCAGTTTCTTCAACAGGTGGAGGAGGTGGTTTCCAGAGAGCAAAATAAGGAATAAGAGCATATGCACCACCAAAGAATGAAAGTACGAGAAATGGCCAAACAGGAATGCTGTTTTTTGAACTGCAGAAACAAAAATTTAATATCAGATAACTGAATCTTTTGTCTGTCCAAACCAAAAATTTTAGACAAATTTGAAATGTCGTACTTTCAGTTCCTAATTGCTAGTCACAACAGTTATTCCAGAATGTTTGAATTACAATTGATCATTCCAAGCAACTTAATCTCATATTATATATAGAGCTAAAGGAAGGGGAGCGTTGGAGCAACGGTAAAGTTGTCTCCGTGTGACCTATAGGTCACGGATTCGAGCCGTGGAATCAGCCACTGATACTTGCATTAGAGTAGGCTTCCCATATTACACCCCAATGGGGTGCGGTCCTTCCCCGGATCCTGCGAAAACGCAAGATGCTTCGTGCATCGAGTTACCCTTTCTATATATAGAGCTAAACTAGAACATCAAGAACTGTACAACAGAACAGAAAGAGGAAAATGAACTGAAGCAAGACAGCCGAGAAGTTACCTTCTAGCGGTAGGAAGGAGGAGCATACTGTAAACTAATGGCCACAAACCCATGAGGTACCAAAGACTCACCAACACTTGATTCATTTGGAAGCCATCATCTCCTTTCAAATTAAGGAGCTTCTTTAAGAAATACGTGTCTGTCAACTGCAATTTTAAGGTAAAAAAAGGACTAAGAAAAACACAATATAAAGCAGAGAGCTATAGAGTAAAGAGTGAAGCAAATAAGTATCATAAAGGAATACTTGTTGACAAAGCATCTTCTCATACTTCGATATTTCAATTATTTTTAGCACACTCAAGAACTGCTCTCTCCACTTTATTCAACGTGAACATGTTTGATTGAGCACGAAGTTTAACCATTAAAATAGCTAGGGCTTGCCAGTTCTCAGATTGAAAAATAGCCAGCATTTACAAAGTCATTGAAAAATAGCCACTATTTTGCTGAAACACGGAAAGTTCCAGCATAATATGCTGGATTATGGAGCTCCCGCGCATAAACTTGCAGCATATTATGTTGGAACTCCAACACATTATGCTGAAATCTATATGTAAAAAATTTCGAGCTGGAACTTTTTCGGATTTTTAAGGGTGTTTTTGTTCAGATTTTATCTTTACGTGAAAACGAGGTTAAATTTTGATCACTTTTGAAATTGCGACTATTTTCAAGTAAAATTTGGCTATTTCTGAATTTTCCCCCCCCAGTTTAAGAAAGAAAATGATGACTTTTGAAACTTTTAGTCTTAATATCAGTTTGACTATATTACTTTTAAAACTTGTGTATTATTTCTATATTTAAAAAAGTCATTCTTTTTTTAAACGGACTAAAAAGAAATATGATCACATAATTACAGGGGCGACTCAACATTGTTGGTGGCCTAAAGCAAAATTTAATGAGAGGCCTTAATTTTTATTTTTTTAAAAAATTATATATTTTTATTTGAAGTACATTTTTTTAACATTTTTAGATGCAAAATTATTAATAATTTTCTTATAATCGAGTTATCCTAATAATTCTTTTTTCAACTGATAATGCTGCTAATCTAATCCAGTTAGCTTCTCGTGAGACATTGTTGATCCAATACAAGATTTTATCAATTTTAATTTGGAAAAGCTTCTTTCCCCGATGCAATTGTTATAGTATATTTTATTCTATAAGGAATAACATTGAAAAAAAATCAAGTCTTGTTATCTTATTAAGTATGTCGATTAGAGTTTTATCTTCTACTTGTAATATTTTCTTTAATGCTATATAATTTGAAAAATAAGCCTAAACTATCATGCCAGAGTGGCTATTATGTTTTAATCAAGGCTAAGTCAATATTTTTTTCAGATTTTTATCAACTACTAATCTCAGTTTTTACCCACTAAACAAAAAATTAAAAATATTTGCGTATGCTTCAGATTATTCAAACTGAAGGGTCAATATCAATAACAAATTAATATTTTCTTTTCCTGTTTGTAATTTTTTTTTATTTTAACTTTAAGATAATAAATTTTTTATATAAAAAATTAATTTATAAAATATTGTCAATTGGAAATGGCGCCCCCAGAATTTGGGGGCCTAAAGCCACTGCTTGGGTTGCTTTACCCTTCAGCCGGCGTTGCACATAAACTATGACCGCATAATTGTTTATGCACAAATATGCAAAGAACATGACTTTAAGCTGGAAGAAACAAGAAAAGAGAATATTCTTAGCAGAAAAATAAGATGTGATACCGGGGTCTGGTTAGGTGCAAGGAAGAAGACATAGTACATGAGTCCACCCCACAATCCAAAGAGCAAAAACGACGTGGTCCAATCCCATTGGTCTCCTCCACTTCCTCCATTATTGCTTCCGCCACTTATCTCAGTAGAAACATCTGTATCTTTTTTCATAATTGGGTCTTCTTGATTTTGAAAGTTTAGTGAACTATGGCATATATACAGACGACCCTTTTTCCCGAATACTGAAATTTTGGTATTTATGTAGTTGTTACTGTAGATTGAGTTCTTGAAAAATTGGGTCTTTGGATTCTTGAATTTTGCACTCTTTGGAAATGAAGGTTTAGTGTTGACTTTCTTATTTTTAAGAAATAGTAATGAAGAAAAGTTAGAGGAGATGNCATATAAACAGTTGAAAATCATATAGTAAATAAAGCCAATTAACACAGATATTTTAAGCTTGAATTCTTTAAACCCTGAACCAATGGTTCTGGGTTACAGTTTACACTGTAAATTCCCCNGGAGATGAGGCTGCTATTGGCTAACATGTTTAGAAAATGCAGCAGATCAGCTAACTACTCGGAAGGACCAAAATAGTCGAGACTATCTCGCCATGTGTGTTCAAAGAAAAAGGAATATTTTTAACTCCCTCAACCTACCCCCCTCCCCAAAACCCCCAAACCCCACCCCGAAAAGATAAAAGGAACAGCGCAAACGGCGTCGTTCGACGGTATATTTAATTAGTTGTCATTTTCACTTTGGACGGCAAATAAGGAGTTTTTTTTCTCCAATTATATATGGAGTCAATACCCTAAAATCCCCTTAAACTATCACGTTTTTGTCAGTTTTATGCTTAGATTCTTCGTGTCCCCAAAACCTCCTAAACTATATTGTCCTTCATATTTAAACCACCTTGTTGCTTACATAGCATAACAACAATAATAATAACCCATTGAAAATCCCACGAGTGGGTCTGGGACGGTAGTATGTACGCAACCTTACCTCTGCCCTTCTAGGGCAGAGATTGTTTCCAATAGACGCTCGGCTAAGTGTGTGTAATAACTCAATTGGGAGCGCGTGATAGCTAAAAAAACCATCAAAATAGCCTAATTGACAAAATATAGTGGCTAATTAACCGAACCCTCTTTCAAATTTTTGTGTTAATATTCTCCTTATTTTCTTTATATTCACCTTTTTTCCTCATTTTTTCTATCATTCTTCCTTATTTTTTCACATTTCTTCTTTATTTTTCATCTTTTATCCATATGGGTTACCTTTGAAAAAAATTCTCCCTCTCTTATTTCCTCTCAAATGATTTATTCTCTTTCTTGTTTTAGTCTTCTTTCATGTCTTACACATATTGTTGAAAGAACACTCATTTAAATCTTCTTATTAAATCCAACACCTTGTAGAGAATAAAGTTGAATCTCTTGAATCTTGTTTGTGTAATTGATCACGCCCAACTATGCCTTATAAAAAGACTAAGTGGTCGTTGCAAATATATTCCGGTTAATAAGTCTGGAGTCGAATTCCACAGGGAATTAACCTATTAAGCATAGCTACTAGACTCGCACAAATTCAGCAATCAATCTTCAGAAATACTTAATTAACGAATTGGATGTTTACTAACTAAATATTACGTAATGAAAATACAATAAATAATAACTAACTACGAACGGGTTGTAGACAAGAAGTTGAATGATCTAAGGTTGTGATTTCCCTTATTGTCGGAATCCTTTCCGCTATGTTTTCTATAAATTTGTCTAAGTCTTCTCTACCGATCATGAGCACTCTGACTGTCGCAACTCTCTCCCGAGTAATTACCACAATATACTAAACATATTCTCCTGAATTACGCTAGCTGGCCTTAAGTACAACTCACTCAAATCGCACCAAGGTTTTGTTATCCCTAATCCCACCTTTAAACCCTTCGTATTGATCCCTCATATACGTTAGGAGTGATGTTGTTCAACAACTACTTACATATGCACTCTCTCCCGAGTAATTACCACAATATACTAAACATATTCTCCTGAATTACGCTAGCTGGCCTTAAGTACAACTCACTCAAATCGCACCAAGGTTTTGTTATCCCTAATCCCACCTTTAAACCCTTCGTATTGATCCCTCATATACGTTAGGAGTGATGTTGTTCAACAACTACTTACATATGCACTCTCTCCCGAGTAATACATACTAAATAGGCACAGTTAATTGAGGGCCCTTCAATCAACAACAATAATAATATAGTTGAACAGATAGAGAAAATACTACGGCAAATCTATATTAATGTAACAGGAAAATCATCCTCCAATAGGTTCCATCAAAACCCTAGATTAAGAGTTTAGTTACTCATACTCATAGTAACAATATCCAAAATATTTTGCATAATTAAAATACAAAGTAAGTATGAAAGGAAGTAGAAATCAATGATTTTAACTCCCAACGGTTGTTCCATGAGCTATCCTTCCTCAGATTGTAAAAGTCCTTCAAAGTGGAATTTTTAGGTCTATTTATATGTGTAGGAAAAGACCTAAATATGTAGGTCAAATCCTAGTCAAATTGGAAGATGAAATAAGTCTTCAAAACTCGGAATGGACCTCGCCCCAGACCTGGCGTCGCCAGGTATAACGCCTGGTGGACCTCACCCCAGGCCTGGCGTCGCCAGGCATAACGCCTGGTTAAGCCTGCCTCACCATGTCTCTTGCCAACTACAAGCCTAGCGTCACCAGGTATATCGCCAGCTACAAGCCTGGCATTTCCAGCTTTCCTTATTCAACTGCTCCCGTGCACGCTTTAGACTTATAAGTATCCTTTTTTTTCTCTACTTTCATCTCCAATTCACCTACACATAAAATGGATCCTATTAAGCACAAATAAAGTGTAATTTATCATTAAAGCATATAAAATGCAAGGCGAATAATGTGCTAAACCATGAATTGTAGCTACACATCAATACCCCACACTTAAATATTGCTCGTCCTCGAGCAATCAAACTACACTTATAGACACAACCTATTAAGCAATTCCCTTAACTTATTATACCAAGAATCTTTAACATAGTCTAAGCACCAAGGTATAACATCCTCACCTCAAGATTTGACTCACAAATACCATGCCTTATTCATAATTCACTTACTCTAACATGGAAGTCAACGACATTACCTTTCCTTTATGAATCACGTGCCTCGCTCAATCAAAGAGCTTAGTTCCACACACAATGAATTTTAAGAACATAGGAACTCAAGATAGACAAAATTCACTCGCTCTCATTAATAACCTTCATATGCCACAAATGATGCACTATAGTCTTTCCCGTAGTGTAATACTCGATTAATCGAGTTCATTCAGTCTAAAATCAAGTAGGACTTTTATTGGTTGTAATGTAGGCTGCGGGTCGGGTAGGATACATTTGGATATGAGTGACTACACCTCCCTTAAGAACTTTAATACATATACTTTAACATTCAAGCCAATACTTATGTCAAACCAAAATTCCACCTTAACTTCACTCTATTTTACCCCCTACTTCTTTACGCACCAGTATATCACTAGTCACCACCGTCAAGAATTATTCTTCATACAATACGGCTATTATTTTTTTTCTTTCTTTTTCTTTCTTATCGTCAATCCAAGTGGCTTTTATTGACATAATTTTATTTTCAAACTGTGCACCTTTCTCCTTATTTCAATTGTTCCACTCAAAAGCCAACCCACCACCCCACACTTTAACTTTTTCGTAATTCTTCACAATTCAAGTGCTCATGAGAGGTGACAAGGTTCAAATATATGGTCGATTCAAATAAAGAGGTACGACTTGTAATGCGGTTACCAAATCAACAGGATTATAGGCTCAAATGGGTTAACTACAATATATAACATTTAGGTAGGTACTCTATATATATATCTGGCTTAATAAAGAAACGCCCACATCACTTCTTAGATTGAACAAGACTACTATTTTGGTTTGCACACACACGGGCAAGTTCTAGACATCAAATGCAATGCACAAAATACATATAAACCTCACACAGACATGACACATAACTCATTCAGGATTGGTTTTTATCACGACACTCCAGTCAAAGCAGTTAAGCAAATTTAAGAATCTACGATTTAAGGTACTTATACTAGAGTCAAAAACTGAGTATAAGCGTCACAACCAAAGTACTAATTATTCTCAAGACATCACAAAACTAAGAGATATTGCTGCGATTATATGCATAGCTCCGTGGTTCCTATTCCTAAAAATTAAAATTAACTACACCCCGTTCAACTAAAAATCCTTGGAAAAGAACCGCGGCCCAAAGAAAAACCAAGGGTGAATTACTATACTTCCTAAAAAAATGTTTTTGGTATTTTTCTTTAGACTTACTTCCCTCAAGAAAACTGTCTAGGAGATCCATCATCAGGAAGAGTCCAAATTTTATTTTAATTTTATTTTATATATTTTCTGACTAAAAACAAATAACAAAAAAAAACAAAAATGAAAACAAATTCTTAAAACCAATAACTAAAATAATTAGATAACGAAAACGACACTTACTAAAATAGCATATACAAATAACTAACAAATACTAATTTCTACAAGTCCCCACCCCACACTTAGATCATACATTGTCCTTAGTGCAATTGACAAAACAAGAAAAAGGAGTACGGTGCAAGGCAACTCCCTGATCAAGCGGCGTTCTCATCCTCTGACGATCTCCACTATTCATCATGTTCTTCTTCCTCCTCCTCATCATCTTCCTCATCATGACTGCTCCAGCTCGGCCTAAGACTGCTCGTGTGTGTCGATATCCTCATCATCGAGTAGTCTGTATCCATCACCTATCCCAACCATCTACTGGGCATGAGCATTGAACCAGTACCGCTGCTCCAATAAAGTCATCTCCTCATATGTGGCTGGCTGACCCCTATCCTCAGCTGCAAATCCATCATCCCATAGATATGAGTCATAGAACTATCATCACAAGCATTGCGCTCAGCACCTGTCAATGATGGCATGACAGTCTATTCTTTCAGCCGGAGACTAGTGATGTCCATTTGTTGGAGGGGCTGATTGATGGTGTGGTGAAAGTCGGGATCCTCCTCAACCTCCTCGTGTCTTAAGAACTAAGTTAAAAAATTGGCAAGTGGCATTCAATCGACTTTCTTACTCGTTTTGACTGATGACATCTGGTAGCGGATTAGATGACCCATATTCACCCTTTGACCCGTCATGAGAAAGTATATTATACAGGTCCTTTCACGGCTAATGAGTGTGTCATGATTACACGGTAGAAGCCATGCATTTATCAGTTTAATCCACACTTAAGCCTCTGCCTTCATCTTCTTCTTGGGGAATCTCTTGTGCCGATTTATTATCTTATCCCGGACCCATGCTGCCGTAGAGTCGACACCACAGAGCGTGTGTCGCAGCTCTCTATATGTAGGCCGGCGAATGAAGTGGTCCAATGGCTCCACAGAAACATCTGGTGCACCTAAAAAGTTACATATGGTCGTGGCTGAAAAATCTATCAAACGTCCACGAATCAGCACTAGCTATTCAGTATCATGTGGATCAAACCCTGCATAGAATTCCCGGACTAGATTGAGATTAATGTCCCCTGTGTTCTTGAATACATAGCTCAACCCCAAATCCT